AAAAAAAAAAAAAAGACAGCCGGGGTGCAAAGAGGCGAGGAAGGTGAAAGGGAGAAGAGGACTGGCGAGGAGAGGAGCTGGCAGCCATAGCTGACCGGAGGGTTGACCAAGAGGGTTGACCGGAGGTGTTGACCAGCGGTTACCAGAGTTGACCGAGGGCTATAGCAGCGTTGACCGGCGTTGACCAAGGCTGTTGACCAAGACCGTTGACCACGAGTTGACCAAGCTGGAGTCGGTAACATCTCGCCAAGCCCTCAGCCTATCCCTCGCCCTATGGATGTGCACACACCCCTTGGTACTTGTTGAGTCGAGTCTGTTTGTCTTTTCTTTCTGCATCGAGTCTCTTTTGTCCTAGGTGATAGTACTCTGTGGATGAAGGATAGGGTCTTGTTGACCAAACCCACACGGGATGAGTAGGGCTAAAAGCCGTGTCTGACGACTCGACTCTCCCGGAGGACACGAACCCTCCCAAGACCGGTACTGACCGGCGGGCTGCTCGGTGTGGCACGGTAGGCCTCGAAATCTGAGTTGTGGGCTGTACAACAGACCGTCTAAGTCTTGAGAGACCTGCTGATCACGTCGTCCTGTCTGCAACGTTAAATAATTCCTGAGTTCGGGGGATCTCCTTAAATGCCTCCTGATCAGCAAAGGTCTAGTAGTGACCGCCGTAGTTAGGTCTAGGCTAGAGACCATAGTTGACAGGATCCCTGTCAGGATTCTGTGAGTCCTTAGATTGAGTCCGTAGGTCTGTCCGTCAGGGGTTGGAGTCCACGTGGTGAGGTTTGGAACCACTAACCCGGTTGTACACTTATCACCATGGTTGAGACCCGCACTGGGAAGGATACTAACCCCTACACTTAGGAGCAGCAAGAGAAAATGGCCGCCCTAGTGAGAGAGAACGAAGAGAGGAAGGAGCTCCATAAACAAGCGAAGCTAAAGGCTATCACAGAGGAGCAGGCGGCTAAGATGAAGAGGCTGGGGGAGGAGATGAAGAGGGTGCAACAGGAGGAGGAAGAGAGGAGAAAGGCTGCTGAAGAAGAAGCCGCAGCAGAAGAAGCAGAGGAGGAGAGGAAACGAAAAGGAAAGGAAGCAGAGAGTAGTGGCACGATTAAAGAGGGATACAAATGCAGCGATGGAGAAAACGATAAGTGAGTGGGTTGCTAATTTATCATTGGGAGAAGACGAGGAGGCGGAAGTCTTACGTGACTTAGGATGAGAGGGATGCGCTAGCCAGTGAGCTAGCAGCAATGGGAGACCCTATGGAATGGCGAGAAAGGGAGGAGGAGCAAAAGTTGGCGTGGAAATTAAGGATGAAGAGGGAGAAGAAGAGGATGAGAGAGGAAGTGAACAAACTGACCGCAGAGGTGGCAAAGGTGCAGGAGTGTAGGAAGGAAGTGTTGGCCCAGCCAGCTGACAAGTGGGATAAGGTGCTGGGCTACCTAGAGGTGCTGAGCACCGCATGGATGGAGGAGCGCCAAGCTAGTTGGAGCCAAGAGGTAGCCCTGAGTGCCATGCGGCCGGGATTCAGAAACTTTGCGCGCGAGATCGTCACCCACATTGGGGGCGAAGTCAGGCAACTAAGGGACAACGTAGGGAAGTTTTGCGAGGGCGCCATTGAGGGTGCCAAAGCCATAGTCGTTGTAGAGGGCGAGGCCAGACCCTGTAAGGACCCGGTTAAGCTTAAGTTTCCAGACGCATACGCGGGAAAGAAGGAAGAGAACTTTGACAACTGGGAGGCCAGTGTCAATAGTTACATATACCTACAACACATCCTGACAGAGGAACAAGTCCTCGTGGCCTTCCAGGCCCTTAAGGATGAGGAGGCTAGTTTTGCCAGATCCCTTGCGCGCGCAGCCGGTTGTGAAAACAACCTGGTTGCCTATTCTAAGGTCACCCCCCTTCCTCAATTCTTTAAGCTCCTGAAGGAGCGATTCGCTGATCCAACGAGAGGCGTCAGGGCCTCTGATAAGTTACAGACGATCCAGTCACGACAGTGGAGGAGTGCAAGAGCACTCAAGGGTACCATGGACGACTTGGTAGCTGTCCCAGACCATGGGGTCACTGAGACCCAGTTGGTCCAATTATTTTATCGTGCCATGCCGAAGGCCCTGCGTGGGCATTTCTTCGACAAATCTCAACAGGCCGGCATCACTTATGATGCATTGAGTAGAGAGGTATGAGTCGAAGTCCATACCAGCTGCCACCTTCTGGCATAAGGATTTGGACAAGGGAAAAAGGTGGAAAGGCCGTACCATCTCAGGCCAGGTGAGGGCCAAGGATCACATGATCCTTACTCTAGAGGAAGGTGGTACTGATGAGGTCCCATACAGTCAGATTGAGTGGGGCCTAGAGGAAGAGGACAGTGGCGTGGGACAGGGGAGGTCTTATGTTGTTGTCGTGGTTGGAGGGAGGCCGCCAGTTAGAGGAGGAGGGCAGGGCCAAAGGGGCCAGGCCATGGGAGGTCGAGGACCGGGCGCACAGGGGGTTGGCGGACAGGGAAAACGCCAAGTGGGAGGTAGGGGTCAAGGTCCCCCGCCAAATCGCCAAGGTTCTAATCGGTCCCCCCAGCGACGAGGTGGAAGGGCACCTCAAGGAGGATGGCACCCAGGCTTGCCACAGGGCAGGCCATGGGAAGACTTGGGCTTGGACCAGCGCGTATGGCAAGAACGCGTGAACTTGGGTCAGTGCGTGTTTTGTGGTGACCCGGCCCACGTAATCAAATTTTGTCCACAGTATAGACAGGCCCGTTGGGCTGCCCAACAGTCAAAAGGCAGCCGCCAGTAGGGGTTGCAACTGCCCCTACTTCAAGGCCATGTGGAGAAGTGAGCGCACGCGAACAGGACACTCCCAACCCACATGAGCCTATGGCAGAGGTTGCAGGCCCGTGCCTAGCCAGCTGTCCATAGACCGCCTGTGTTAGCGTTTCTTTAGGCACGTCCCTCACAAGTGTGGCAGAAGAGTTAAAGGAGAGGATGCCAGCCTGGGCCAAGATGAAGAAAGACAGTAAAGGTCAGCTGATCTTGGTAGATGTAGAAGTTTTCAGGAGTAGAGTAGGGGCCCTTATAGACTCAGGGGCCACCCGCAGCTATATTAGCCGTAGAGCGCCAAAAAAGTTAAGGCTAGGATTAAAAGTCCATAAATTGGCAGACCCCATAGTCAGTGTCCTCGCAGACAACCGCACAATGCGTGTTGAGGACTACGTAGAGGGAGTCCAGGCGTACTTTCGCCTAGAGAAGGATGGGCAGGTGGAGAAAGTTCTCCATTCCTTGACTCTCCTCGTACAGGATGACCTTCCTTTCGATGTAGTGCTGGGAATGGATTGGGGAGAGGCAGCAGGGGCCACACTCCATTTGAGAGAGCATGAGTGTAGGGTCCCTAGTCCGTCAGGCGAGGTTAAGACTGCCCGCCTGTTTCATGTGTCGGGTGTAGATAACACCTTGGCACATTGTT